CACACCCCAATTGGTTTCATACTATGGTTCCTGTTTGTCCTTAAGAAGGATTGCAGTGCCCTGTCACCTATGTGATCCCTCCAACATTCAATCAGCCATAAAATTGAGAGATGAATAATGCATCAATTACATCCTGGCTTTTCAACCCAAGTAATTTCAGGAAAAATCCCCAATCCCTGCTCCCCACCTTCCCCAAACCCCACAATATTACAGGCCTGAAGCCATTAAGTAACTGATTACAACGAAACAATTATTAGGCAATTATTGTAATTGGTAATGACTGCAGGCATACTTGTCTGTGTTTTAAATACTACACTCACTTTTACAGAATTAGTACCTTTTGAAAAGGGAGAAATATACCTTCCATAAAAAAAGCTCATAAATCTATTTAATACAAAGAAACTTGAGTTACTGCCAGAATAAACTTAGTAATAAGTTGGACTGATTATAAGCTTACAACATCTTACTCTCTTTAAGCAAATCTGTTAGTATTTTAACGAAAAAAAAAAAGTACACTACTGTTATCAGATATTAAACTCCCAAATAATAATCACATCTAACCACACAAAACATGTCAACAGTTCTCCAAATTTTGTTTTAAATTATCTAGTAGAGAGTCCTAAACTCTAATACTCTCTACTGGCTGTTAGGCCACAATAAAACCAACTTTGTCTGTACTGGAAAGCAATGAAATAGCAGTAACTTCACATACTTGCAGGAATCCTTCAGCTTTTTATATTCAGGACAAAACTAATAGTGAATACTTTAATCAAACATTAAGCAAAAGACATACTTTTTAATATGTTTTCCCTTGGTTAAAGAAGTCCTGGCACTGGAGCAAGTACAATTAAACTTCATGTTGTACTCTACTGAACCAGCTTAACTTTGTCAAGCATGAAATTTATACCCTGTATTCTGATCAGCAGTCCAACCAAAGAAAGCAGATTAATATTAGCACTGCAGTGAGATATCAAAAGATATAGACAGGAACTTGAAGACACGGATTTCAATTGTCTACTTCTGAACCACTGGAGTGTTTCAGTAGAAAGCATGTTATAGGAGACAAATATTTCAGACAAAAATACTCATATAAGGACTGACCTTTGCATGACATAGGACTTGCAAAGAGACATAAATGCTGATCAACCTTGTACTCTCCATGTACAACTTGAAGAAACACAGCCATGTACAGGCAAATGGCAGTCACACAACTCTGTTACTAAAGACTCTAGAACATGTTTAAGTTAGGCTTCCACGGTAGCATTCTCTCATTATGCCTTCGTTCTGCATGACGCTGTCCTAGAAGGATGACCACAACCATGCAGAAACTAAGTGCAAATAATATGGATCATAAGACTGAAACACTTGAGTTTCTAGTTTAAAAACAATCTACCATTCATGGATTAGACAGCTCTGGAGAGAAGTACCTGCTCTTCAAGCTTTCTTTTTGTTTATTTTTAACTGGTAAGTTTACAGCATCCTTCAAGCTCCATGGGAACCAAAGAATACAATACATTTGCTCCACTTACATCTTCTAGTGCAAAACCTGGAATTCCCTTTCTTTCATTATAAAACTCAGTCAAGTTATCTTACTGCACTTTTGCTCTTGGAAGTAAAGGTAAACCAGGCACTTAATTGTAACTTAAGTAGCTGCTAAATTTAAAAAAGTAATAATTCCTGAGTAGGTCAATGTAGTCTTATTAACTGATGAAGTTTCCTCAGGGGAATCACCTTCTGGGTATAAATGATGCATTGCAAGAGGCTCCAAGAAGAAATCTTTTCATTAATCCTAGGCATATCACAGTATAGGATGTAGAATAGTTAGGGTTAAAAAGGACCTTAAGATCACCTAGTTCCAACCCCCCTGTCACGTATAACAGTGCAAGGCTGCAGGTGTGCATAAAGGTATTTCTTACACCTTTTCCTCTGAAGAATGGCAATTAAAGAAGCAGCAAATGCCACAAAAATAGCACTATGTGTCAAAGTTTGATACAGAGGCCACGAGCAGCATGTCCCATGGCTATGTCATGCAAACCCACCTGTGCTTTCAGCTATAGCTCATTAGAAACTAATTTAAGGAATTCTATGCCTAGAAAGCACTAGGATGGCATCTGCAAGTACATACTATGAAATACTAATACAGTTACTGTACATATTTGCAGTGGTTGTAATTTGTTTTTCTGGCATATTTTGAGGCTGCTGCAGAATTTTTGGTTTTCCATTCTTTCAAGGGAAACAAGCCAGCTATCAAGTCTACTCCACCTTAAATGTGTGTGTGTGTGTGGGGGTGGCCAAATTATATAAAGGGGAAGGAAGTTTCAAAATTGCAAAGCATCCAATCCTCAAAAACAAAGTAAAGATGAATGCACAGAAAGCCATCATACCAAACACCCAAACCTTTCCCTTGCTACGTGACGACATACACAGCATAAATACATGAACTGATAAGAAGCCAAGTTATTGTTACACTAAGCAACTAAAAATTATGTGATTATGTGCTAAAGAGGTTTTAAGAAAGTTATACTAAATTGAAGCTGAAAATTAATGTAGACCTGTGACAGGATCTTAAAAAATTCACAGATTTGAATGAATGTTAAGGAAAAAAAGACTCCTAACGCTGAGTAAGCACTATGATGTTCATCATGCATAGAGCCAGAATTTGAATAGCTTTGGATAAGCAAGACTTATCCATGAAAGAACTTGCTGCTTAAGAATCTGAAAGAGTCAGTTGATTTTTTTTTTAATTCACACATGTGAAACATATGTGACTATGCTCTTGGTATAAAGCTTTGCAATGCAAAACACAGGAACAAATAAAGCAATTATGTCAGTCAACCAGAGCAAAACCAACTTAACCATTCATTGTGCAAATAACAAAACACTTGCATAAGTGCCTGCAGTTACTAATGAATAAAGGGCGTGTAAATAACATAGTATCTATTTTAGCTACACAGTAGGCTTGCAGGTCACACGTATTACCCAGCCTGCCATTCCAGCTGATGTGGCACGAGCAGCCACACAGCAGGATCGCGAAAATTCTGTAAGTAATGTACACATCACATTGTGTTACAGTTTAAAAAAACTGCGATCTGCAACTGTACCATGCATTAATACTGTGTAACTACTACCCAAATATGTGAATCCCTATCGCTTGCCTGGCTTACTTTATTTTAGACAGACACCTGAAATATCAGGGCAACTCTGATCATCATTCTGCACCAAAAAATCCCGCTTTCCCACAGAAAAGCTTGCTACTGTAGATATTTTTTCAGGTTCAGTTTTAAGGATAATAAAACACACACAAAAAAGAATTGTCAAACTGCTAAAAGAGTTACACTGCCTTTTCCTTCTGATTTTTCATAGGTGCTTACAAAGTCTTTATTTCACACCAGTCAAGATGCTTGTTTCCAACACATCTTCCCTTACAACGTGTAAAATGCAGCAGTCCAACTGACAATACGCAGAGTGGACTACTAGCCAGCCTACAGTCTGATTTCCCCTGTTTGACTAGACCAGGGAAACAAAAGAACACAAAACTCAACTTGCTGCAGGAACAATAAAACACAATGGAGGAGGGCCTGCTACTGGGGCAGAAGAGACTATGGCAGGATTTTTTGCACTGCAACCTCTACCTCTAACACATGCCCACAAAACAACAGCTAGTCACTTCTAAGGCCTGGATCCCTGCAACCTGTATTCCTAAGAAAACAGCTAGACAGCACTTCTGTAACATATGGCATGAGAGATGGAAAAGCAGTCCCAGGAGAAATCCCTGCACAAGACAAGATTTCAATGCAGGGACTTGCTAAAAACACGTGGGAAAAGTGTTCCTTATTTCCTTCTCATCATTTTTAAGGTTAGGTATGCAGTCCAATGTGGGCACTTCAGCTTTGCTCATTCCGAAGTTGGGCAGCTATGGCACAGAAGTCCTTGAGCAATTCACACTATATCCCTAAGCCTGCAAAACATCCTGAAACTGGCATTCAGCCACAGTGTGTAGAATGCTAGACCACTTGGGGGGAGGGTGTGAAGGAGACTGTTTAAGATCAGAGAAGTTTGCAGGCAGAGAAGAGAAATGAGCACAGATCTTTCAAAGCCTCAGACAGTACCCTAACTACTCGGCTACGCTCCATCTATTATTTTGGAACTTGTGCTGTAAGCCAGAAAAGCAGTTTATGGTTTCTCCGAGTTCTATGACAGGACAGTTTGAATAGCTAGAAAAGAATGTGTTTGTTAACTCACAGAAGAATAAAGTCTCAAATAACTTTTTTTTTTTTTTAAATGGTTCTCTCATACCTGCAACCCTTTTGAATTTGAAACGAAGATTTCAGTCTATCACAATCTTGCTTCTAGTTAATCTTGGCTTCTAGGCTAATGAAGATAGACCAAAACAAGGTTCAAAACTGCGAGCAAGATGCTACATGATTACTGTTTAGTGAAAGAAAGCTAGCTTTCTGTTTCTAGAATTAAGTAGTACGTGAATTTGCCAAATTCAGACCTTTTTTAGTCTTCTTAGTTCAGCAATCCATCTGCCACAACAGATATTAGCAGGTATCATGCCTTAGTACTGAAGTGTCTTCAAACCCATGCAAGATGTTAGTGAACAGCAGGTAGAAATTACACCCCTACTGTCAAGTCTGAAGACAGGCCTGAAGGTTTCTGACACTGATGGTATTATGCTACCATCTACTGGTTCACACTAAACGCCTGAACTTTCAACCTATTCCCTCTCAGAAAAAGCCACCACCAAAAAAACCAAAAAAACAAACAAAAACCCAACCAAAACACCCAACCAGCAAAAGAATCATCAGTTTCTACAGATGCTTAAAGCTATTTTTCCATAGTAAAATGTTAACTTGAAATTTTCTATGGTAATTTCATAGCTCTGCTCAGCTTTTGTCATTTTTTTTTCTTTTTTAAGCAGGTGCAAGAGTAATTGTTACATATGTCCAAAACATTGTGAAACAAGATATACCAAACTCATCCACTCATTTACTTACATTCGGCTAGTTTCAATGTTTTCAGAGTGAGGTTCTCCTGGTGATCTGCAAATACAGATAAAATAACAAACAATGCTTAAGGTTTTGTAAGTTATTACAATAAGAAGTTAGGAAGGGTGGAAAGCGATGATACTGTATTATTGCCAGTAAAAACATCAACTTCTATGCACTTCCACATTTATTTTGACCAAACTCTAGAAGACAGTTTATAATGTAAACCCTGACAATATAATTAAGGTAAATTTGTCTAAGGAGGACAGCACTTTTTCCTCACAGCTTACACAACAGCAGCCATTAGAGAAGAGTTCTGCTGGCAGTATTCCCTTATTCAGATTACGTAGGGCACCACTTCTAGGCTAATCCTTAATAATCAATTTTGTAAGTAAAAGGTATACTCAAAGTTTATCAGTGATGAACTGTTACAAACAGATTCTCTTCACAGTTGACTCCAAGAAGCAGCAGCTCCAAAGTAGGTCTCAACAGAATCTCAAAATGAATTTCATATGTCTCTCAAATTGAATTTATGGAAATAATCTCACAGGCAGCTGTTTCTTCCTTCCAACCAACAGGTCAGCCAGTAATATTCCAGATTACGTGTTATTGCCTGGCATTTTTGACCACACAAGCAGCACCTGTGCTCAGCCTGCCAAACCCCTGGCCTTAAATTACAGAGTCATTTAAGGGGTATAGTTCCATATTAACTTAAGTAGGCTAAGTTACAGCTCCTCCTTATTCCCATCGTCTTCCTTATGCCAACATCAATTCAATAAGCTAATATTTAATTCTATTTTTTTAGACTGATTTTTTTTTCCCCTTCCTTCCTTCAGGACTTCCTCCTATGTAGTGAGTTTGTAGCCAGATGAGCCAGGAGACAAGGCAGCAGTTTTGACTTCAATCACCTTAAGCTGCCTTGAAATCACACCTTAAGAACATTATCCAACCTTCACTTGGGTATAGATTCTGGTACAGTTGACCAAAACTGCCACACTGGATATATTGCATGAAGAGTGGAAATAGAGCCCAGCCATTGCAGTAAAACTCTGTAGCTTACATGAACAAAAATGTCTTTCATGACAGCTTTCTTAAGACAGAAGTGAGCTAAAATCTGCAAATAGAACTCACTTCGTAGGCTTCAACAGTTTGCTATGGGGCTTCAGTTAGCACAGCTAAGTGGGCTTTGCCATAGCTTCACTGAGAAAGTGTTTGTTTAGAGGAATGGAATTCCTGAATTTCTCTGTTTACTATATGAATATATATACTAAACGTGGTTGGAAATCTCCACCTGTAGCCTGAAGCATTTCTTTTTTTCCTTTGTTTCATTGTGCTACCTTACTGGGTGGTCCCTCCTAGTAAAGCCTGGACTGTTCTCCGAATTCTTTACTAAATCTTAGTTCCTTTACTGACATTCCAGATCTTGGCAACCTTCTAGATTTTACCAAACTGTAATATATTAACAGATCCAGTGCCTAGAAAGCATTTCTGGCAGACAACTTAAAATTCCTAGGCAAGCTGGACACTACGCAGTGACAGTTGAACACAGGAAGTTATTTGTTTATATTTCACCAAATTATAAAAATCAACTGACACTAAGGACAGAATTCTGAACTTACCATTCAACTGACCTTTTACTGATGCTTAAACTGCGAATACCCTCTAGCTGGAAAATAACAAAACCTGCCCAATTTCTAAATTCGGTCTTTATTTACTTCCTCCAAATGATGTTTCCCCATGCTCATTGAAGTTCAGGACTGACAAGATAGTTGCTGTCAAAAATATTCAACAGCAAAACAAATCAAAATTTAACTTCCCTTCAACTCCAATGACCAAACCAAGTCACGAAACACTTAGAGAGAAAAGAACTTCAGTTATTTTTTTTCTGATTATTCACCTAAGCATCCAAGTGCTACAAGCTGTATGACCTGAAGAGCAGTGGAAAGAAGGGTGTTTATTATTTTCATACTGGCTAGCTCCTCTGTTCACATCCAGGACTTCAGGAACTGATAGCAAAAAGACTGGAAGTTTGAGGCACTTGTGATCTTTTAGTCATGTGACACAATGAAGCTTTGGGTAAGAGTAATGCTTTAAGTTGCTAAGAAAATACAGGTGAAAATGTTAAAACAAAACCATCAAGAGTATGCTTTGAGCCTTCAAAACATGCAGCAGTATGAAAAATTAAGAGAAAAAAAGCAGACTGGCATCTAAACATATCGTGTAAAAAAAGGTAGCCTGGTAGTCTGCAGTACAGACATGTAACCACAGCTATCAGTATATCCAAAATCTTTTCCCATCCTTAGCATTTGTGTTAGTTTTAGCTGGGCTTAGAACAGACAGCACAGTTAGTACACACTATTCTGCAAAAAATGATTTCTGTAAGACAAATAATATAAGACACGGTTTCAGGGAAGTTCAGAAAAAATAAAACCTAGCTGAGTCAAAAAAAAGTTTGGTCCTTTACAGTAAATGGTTCTACAGAAAACAGGGATCAAACTCCTTCAGCTAATTGTTTTCTATAGCATGAACAGACCTAGCATAACTATGATTTGTAGAAGTATTAATGCAATTACTAACTGGATTTTAAAAGATTTCAAATGGCAATGTAAGCACCAAATAAAATGAGCTTTCGGTACTCATTAAAACAATGTGGAACATCAATCTAATCACAAGAAATATTTGTTGAGAAGCTATTTATTCTGCAATACCCAACTGTTTACAAACAAGATACCTTGATTCCTCTGAGCAAGCAACAGTACTGAAAAGAACTACACAGTATGGCAAGATGTCCTTTCATCATGCTTAAAATCCGAAACAAGAGTTCTGTTCAGAGAAAAATCACAGAGCAAATGCTCTTATAAATTTCAGCTTTGAATTAGATCTTAGATACGGATCACAAGACACTAACTAATCTGAATACTGCAGTATGAGCTAGCAAATTGAAATGGTGGCTCACTTCCAGTAACACAGGGAGCAACCTCTCCATTCTTCAAGCCACTTCTTAAATAAGTATACTAAACAATTTATACAGAATTTCAGTGTGACAGTAAAAACCACCAGAGACAAAAGCGGTAATATTGGTCTTAAGAGGACTACCACAGAGCACCACAGTGCTTCTATTGTAAAAAGCAGAGGCAAGCAAAGTGAGCTTTGAAATCACTCTAAGCAAGAGCGTAAGTCAACTTTGCCAGCTGACTTATCTTAAACAAACAATACACCTGAATACTATTTATAAAACTAACTTGAAGCCTTACAAGTGAAATACTTTAAAAATAAAAATTATACTGAAACACACTGATCCTGAGAAACAACACAGTACACTTTATACTTACCTTTTACAAGCTGTGGCCATTCGGTGACATCAGGGTGATCACAATTGAGTCACTGATTAAAAACGAGTTGTCACACCAGTCCTGTATCACGCTGGGCTAAGCATAAGCTCAACAACTCTAAATAATTAAAAATAATTTAGTTATAAGTCCTTACAAATTATTTTCAGCCAGTCTGCTAAATAAAAACCATAAAATAGAAGAAAGATACGGATGCTAAGCATTGTTTTAACTGCAAGATTAAGACCTCCTGCACACAAAAAAAGAGTTAATTTTTGAATGGCATTTTAAGACTTCCGGAGTAACTCACTACAGTACACTACTCAACTGGTGAAATTGAAAATTCATCAACTTATTTTTAGCCTGTCTGAAAAAACTAAAAACCATCTCTTGGACCAGTGGAAAGCATCCAACATCAAGACAACAAGCATTCAAAGATTTGGAAGCATATGCATAAATATGAACTGTAATTTCCAACTACAACGAAATTCCATTAGTTGTTTCTCTGTCACAACTCAGTTGATACTGGTTCCTAATGAGGCTCTGTGTTCCCAGGGGAGCAGCATGTAACTTGCACTTTGCCATGTGCCTCTCCCCAAAATAAAGTAGGCTAAAGTTATGTAAAAGTTTCAGAGGAGCAACCTTTACTATCTGTGGCCAATATTTTAGGTTTTTTGCTCCATTTAAGCCACATCTACACTCTTCTCTCCCCTAAATTTTCAAAAGGGTATTTTACCTGTCAATTGTTTCCCGTGATCTGGCTCCACGGTATAAATTGAAGGGTTGGTCCTTTACTTTGTCACGCAGGTGGCAGCCAATGATCACTCAGCAATACTCGTGCCCAGAGCGCCCTGGGACCACCCCAGCTGATTACTTCCATGGCTGAAAAGGAACCAGTTAGTCTCTTACCTACTGCTATTATCTACTCTAAACTAAAGTTAACTGATAAAATATTTCCAAATATAACCCTCAACACTCAATTCAACCCCATTCTCTTTCCCACCCAAGCTCCTATGTGCACTGGACAAAGCCTGTAAAGAAAAAAAGGCCTCTGATGGAGAGTCAGACCACAAAGCATTATTCACTTTCTGTTAATAAAAAGTTTTGATTAAAATTAAAATGTTATTACTGTGTTTAGTAAATAAAAAGTTATTTTTTTCTAAACACTCGGTAGCTATGAAGGCAGAGCTCTGTACAGTATCCAAGAAGTTTATTCCTGTGGCTCTACCCCAGATGAAACTCCTTATATCTGAAGGTCCCCATGCAGAAGCCTCAAACAGAAGCAAGGTGTACAAAGGCTTGTGAGCTATTCAGGACACACCCATAGCTCTCCAACACCCGAAGCCACAATGATCTGGTGCAAATACTAAGAGAGCGCATCAGACACCTTTAAACGTTTCAGTTAAGAAAGCTTTTGTGCTTCAGTCCAACCTGTTACAAGAGTCTTCAGGAAAGACCTAGGTTTGATGACCAGTCAGCATTCTCAATGCTAATTTGTTACCTGTTGGCTTGTCAGCGATATGAAATTACTTAGAGTAAACAAGGCCCATGATTTTCTAAAATTTGTCAGAAAAGCTGCTCACTTCTGCCATTCTGCTACAAACTCCACAACAGAACAAATTTATGTTAGTTTTGGAATGATGCTTACTAGTTTTACTGGATACACTCCTCAAGGTAGGAAAAATGTAATTTAATTATTTTAACATCAGTTATAATTGTGTCTTCTCATCTAAACACAAGTGCAGTTGACATAAGTAAAAAAGAAGCAGGTTACCAAAAACCTCTGAAATAAAGCATAGGTTCTCTAGTACTTATATTTCACACGTATAAATTATCAAAGTTTAACTGAGTCAATGACTGGAACACAGTGCAATGAGTAAGAGTCAGCTGGAAAGACCTCACCTGTCAACACTGAATGACAAACAGGGTAAAGATTTTCAAATTAATGTTTGCTGACCATCAGCTGGATGGAAAAGCAAATAGCAAAAACCAAGATGCTGATGAAAAACTAAGAAGCCTTAAAACACTGCTTATGGTATTCTGATTGTTTAAGACCTGACAATGTCCACTTCCAGGCAAGCCTTAGCTTTAAAGAAACAGATGCTTAATCCAAGGCAGTGCTTTTTTCTAAAGTTAAATCTGGATTCTTGTTGCTTCTGAACTGATGTGAGGTTGTTCTGTAAAAATGCATGCAGAAATTAAATCTGGAGTCTTGTTGCTTTCTGAACTGATGTGAGGTTGTTCTGTAAAAATGCATGCAGAAATTAACACTGCTTCTAGAACTTTGCCTAAGTAACTTTTAGTATGCTGGTCAAAGAGAACAGTGGTGTAATCTCTAATGCCTCGTGTTAGGAAACCTGCATACTATCTATCTGCTGGCAGTAACAGCTCATGTTCTGGAGCGTGCCAAATCAATCACTCCCCTCCTGGACTAGTGTCCTGTATCACCCAGAGCATAGGCAAAAGCTAGTTACAGTAGTCTACCATTGAAGTGGAAGCATGTTAGAACAGGCCAACGGCAACCCTAATAAAACAGGGTTTTCCTGGGGTTTCATATTGAAGAAGTCATGAACATGACTATCAACAGTAAAAGAATACATGAAGTGTTGGTGCTGGATTCAAAACACAACAGATTTGGAATGCTGAAGAATGCGCACTGAGGTAGCAGGCTCCACCAATCATGGCCAAGACAAGTTTGTGCCCAGGCCTGTCAGAGCTCCAACTGTTAGTCAAATTTAGCTTACCATAGAACGTATTACCCACAGCAGCTCTGTGAAGAGAGGCAGCATCCGAACTGGCAGGAATCTCACCAAGCTGAAGTTAACTCATCTAAGTTTTGTAGTGAAATTTGTATCTACAGATTGAATTTATCATGGATCAGGGCTTTGAATTGGGTAGTTACAGCACCTCTAATCTGTAACAAGGTACCTTAAAACTAGATTTACTGTATGGGGTCTACGAAACTCATGCTATTTTTCAACAATCCAGATGCAAGAAATCTTAAGGAATCATTTTCCCTTCTATCTCCTTCTTGTCCTACCTTCCCTAACTATCCTTGCTGCCACTCCCTGGGACAGAATATGATAGGCAAGGATTCCTTAGCATAGATGAAAGAATCAATTTTTCTAAAACCTTACTCATTCATGCATCAGCAGAGTAGTGTCTCCTAGCAAAGAGACCAGCGTGTTGAAACACAGGGTGAGTGGTAAAGGAGACCGCCATCAGAAGATCAGTATTTTGATTCGTTTGAACAAAGGACATTTTGACCATTGGTAAGAGAGGTTAAAGAACACTATTTGATCAGGAAAGGGAAACCACACTGATGAATACACTAGCATCTTGGAAACTGACCTAAACCAACCGCTTCTCTGTCACACAAGTTTCTTTATAGAACACACTCTGGACGTAACTTACCTTTCATAAGGTAGGAACAGCAGCCCCAGAGCAGATATTTATTCTCATTACTCAAACAAATTTCTCTGGTCTTCACTGTCATGATTAGCATGGCTTACAGTTTAGGCTTTCACTGACATGCTGAGCAGTTTGTGCCTGTGGAGTATGTCCAAGAAACCCGAGATGGCTGTTTGGCTCTTTGGGACTGGGCAGGCTCCAGCAGAGACACATCTATATCTGCTTAGTGACTATTCACAAGAGGTAGATTCAACCAGGACTGCAACAACCCCTATTATATGCAGCAAGACAATACACAAGATCCACGCCCTCAAACCACATATCTGAAGAACCTTGTGTGGCTCCCTGGAGTAGCCCTCATCAAGAGGCAACAGGATAAATAATGCTTATGCAGTAGTCTGAGACAACACCCATTTCTCCAATGGGGCAAAGGTGCAGACTTTCAGAAAAGAATGTTGCTATGAACTCAAAAAGAGAGAGGCAAAAAATAATAAATGAGTGAAAGAACAAGAAGTCAGAAACAAGTTCAGATGCATTAAAAGGGGCTAAAAGCAACTCTGTGGCATGGCCTGCTGAGATCTTCACTTTGCATATTTAATTTAATCTCAAAAGTCTAAGATAACAAACAGGAGCCAAGAAGAGGTCCCCAGCTTCAACATACAGAACTTAAAGCCACACCATGGAGAACATAAGCACCTACTTGACAGCAATCAAAAATAAAGCCAGAAAACTTCCAGGTACACATCACTTAATTGAAAGTTATCACTTACATGGATTTTCTATACCTATTACTTTCTCTACGTTATTTGATGTTCATTTTCTGTGAAAGCACAGCAATCTGGCAGCTGACACCTAGTATCTGAGGTCTAGGAAGATCCCGGAGAGAAGGAACACTTTTCTCATTTAAACTGTAACTTCTTACTAACCTCACTGAAGGATGGGTGCCCTGGAAGCGGCATTTGTAAGAGTTTAAGTTTCTTTTACAGAAGAATTTTAAGTATCCACCTGTGTAATCTTTGATCCAATTTTTTTTTTAAGATTCTCTTTTTGACAGATAATCTAATGAAAACAGGGGTGATTCTCCTCTACAAAGAACTATCATGCCTTTCCTGACCTTCCAGTGCCAGAATCTGAGTTGCTTAATTAAAAATAACCATCTATCTCATGAAGATACCACTAAAGACAGCTTTTGTATGTTTTCTGAAGAATCACTCTGAATCCTCCAAGAATGAATTTGATACACTTCCAGATTTTGAGTACCATGATGAAATGGACAGTTATCCATGCAGTAAAAGATACCCTCAGAACTTCTTGTGCTAGGTTACTACTTCAAAAAAGGAACTGACAATTAACAGAAAAGCTGGTCTTTTATAACTTGAGATTGTTTTAAGTATCCTGGAGGAAACTGCAGAATATTCACCAAATTGCTAAATTCAGTCTTAATTGAAACGGGGGGGGGG